CCCATTACTTCTGGGTGGGTTGAAATATCTCTTGTCTGGCCATTATCCTCGCTGTGGTTCCTCCTCCTGTCTCCCAAGGTTACTCTCACACCCCATTACAGTATCTTAACTACCAAAAGCTTGGCACAGAATTTCAGCTGGGCGGTGTTCCTAAATTCAATAAATCAGGATATGCATTGTCATTGCTCCTCTCTCAGCAACTAGGCTAAAATGAATAGCCTTAAAGAATACAGATGACTTTTATCCAAAATTGCCTACCTTTCTTATTATTCTTTTGTTCGTTCTAACAACTAGAAAGGGAGAAAAGTGCAAATACACATTCTCCGAAACAGTGCCAATTCCTCAGCTATCACATCAAAGAGATGTTTCAGTGCCTAATCATTCTAATGTTTTTGCTGAAAAAGTATCAGAATCTAGAAGTCAAGGATTTATTTGATGCCGTTCGCTTTTATCACTTAGAACACCAAAGTGGATAGTACAGTAAGCCTCAACGTACAGTAGTTTGTTTAGTGACCATTCAAAGTTACAGCAGCGCTGGAAAAAGTGACTTATGACCCTTTTTCACACTTACGACCGTGGCAGCATCCCCATGGTCACATGATCAAAATTCAGATGCTCAACAACTGACTCATATGTATGAGGACTGCAGTGTCCCGGGGTTATGTGATCCCTTTTGCGACCTTCTGACAAGCAAAGTCAATGGAGAAGCCAGATTCGCTTAACAGCCCTGTTACTAACTTAACCATTGTAGTGATTCCCTTAACAACTGTGGAAAGAAAAGTCGTAAAATGGGGCACAATTCACTTAAATTGTCTCACTTAACAACAGAAATGTTGGGCTCAATTGTGGTCGTACGTCGAGGACTACCTGTATTTTAGAATAAGATTTCAAGTGTTTTATTTTAACCTCAGCCCCAGTTCTTCCCCAAACAAGTACAGTTAGGCCTTCCCAATCCACCGTCTCTAAATTTATTTATTTTTATAAACGCTTTAACTCTTCTAAAAAGGTGTTGTGGACTTACATGCAGTTCCGAGCAGCTAAATCCCTATGGATAAAGTTTTTGGAGCTCAGGTATTCCATGCCACTAGCAATGTGAATCATAAACTTTAAGAGGGTCTGAAGTGGCAAACTCTGTAAAAAAAAAAGAGAGAGAAAGATGTAGAGTGGAAAGTAGATTATTAGGAAAAAAATAAGCCATTATGAGTTCCAGAAATGATAAAAACAAAATTAGCATACTACAGTACAGCACTTAGAAAATAGAAAAAAATCTTACATCTTAAATCCTACTGTGGAAACAGTAATTTTGGTCTTTCACTAAATGAATCAATATCACATGGAAAGCTGAAGCTCTCTCCACTAGTAATTTTATAGGCCAAATGACAACAAATTCCCTGCATCTAAGAAGCCAAACATTAGGAGAAGAAGCTTCTTTTTACTCTGTGTTGTATGCTTTCTCTACTGGGCAAAACATTAATAGGAACCCCTGCTCCCGGAAGAGCAATTAGCGTAATGTAGGAAAAGCCACCCAACAACTTTCTTCATTTAAATGATATCCATGTTTTTCTCCTAAAAAGAATTGTAACTCCAAGAATCCATAAGCTGTTAATGTACAGATATGAATTTCAATTTTCAATTCAATTTACTGCGGTCAAAGACCAGTGCAAACAAATAAAATTTAAGAGAGAATTAAAATTTAAAAGAGAGTTAAAATACATTTTAAAAAATAACCTAACTAGCATCTAATGTGTTAAATCCAGGATATAGCCTATTATAATGTAAACACTAAAATTATGTAAGTATGATATCTAAAATTACAAGAAAATAAAGATATCTATTAATATCAGTAAAGTGGTAGTATGTAGAATTTAAATGAGTTATAGGAAATGCATTGCGGGATATCGGCTCATCAGAGTTCAAGAGATCTTCTGTGCTGCTGTACAAAATGTAGCTACATGCATGTAACAAGGGGTATGTTGTCTATAAGCAGCATCTGAGTATAGGCCAGTGGTTCTCAACCTTTTTAATGCCGCGACCCCAACCGGTCGTAAGTCGAGGACTAAACCGGTCATAAGTCGAGGACTAAACCAGTCGTAAGTCGAGGACTACCCAACTGGTCGTAAGTCGAGGACTTTCCCTGCCCGGGAGCGCCACGCATGCGTGGTTCCACCCCCTGCGCCAGCCGAGGCGTAGCTGGCAAGCGGCAGAGACAGAGCAGGCCGACCACCAGCTGGCCCAGCCCAAGGGAGGTAAGGCACCCGCCGGAAAAGGGAAAAAAATGGCGGACAAAAAAAATGGCGGACAAAAAATGGCGGACAGCCTTGCTTGGCGACCCCCGTGAAATGGTCGATCGACCCCAAATGGGGTCCCGACCCACAGGTTGAGAACCACTGGTATAGGCCAAATCTGGGCAACCAGATATCTATAATGTCTCCATAAAGGGAGCAGTGAAGAAGGACAAGTTCTGTAGTTTCTACCTCTCTGGAGTCACGGGGGCAAATGCTTTCAGCCAATGAAACTTTTTTATATTTAGCATCTGATACTGCAGAGGGAGAAACATGGCATCAGCAAGAGAGAAAGCTTTCCAATGGCTAGGTGTTTCTAGCTGTGTAAGATAGCTGGCAACAGTGACAATATATGGGTTATGTACTGGTGTCAGGTAGATTACAAATATCAATGAATGTGTTTTGGTTTTTTTAAAAAAAAATCCTTTCCTGTATGTCCTTTAAAATCTTCCCAGTAAATATCTTACAGCCGAACCTTGTCCTTACAACTGTTCTAAGGGCCTGACTAAGCAAATCCAAGCATTGCATATGCTTTAACCTGGCTGAGAAAAACACTTCAATAAAAAAAACCAAACAACACTATTGCAGCATTATCAGTCTGAATGCAAAGACTTTGCAAAGGTCAATGCTAGTAAGTAACATTTTTTTTTCATCCTGACCTAGACCAAGCTAAGTCTGTGAATATTAAAGAATTCCTGGAAGTCTGACATGATGGATGACAAATCAGCCATCAAAAGGTACATCTACATACCATTCAAAAGAGACAATCAAAAAGAAAAAAGGAAAGAAAAAGACCAAAAACCTCCTCACTAGCAATCCACACCCAGATATGTAGAGATTAACACGAAGATTAACACTAGATCAACAACCAAGCTGTAAACAACACCCCAATCAAGGTGTTGTTTACCAACTCAGACAATCAAACAGTAAACAACAGCCTAATCAAGGAACCACCAAAAACATTCCCACCAACACTGACAGGGAAGCGACTTGCATATAAACTGAGAGTAAACCCCACTCCAGTGATGGCGGACCTTTTAGAGACTGAGTGCCCAAACTGCAACCCAAAACCCACTTATGCATTGTCAAGTGCCGAGTGGGTGTGGCCAATTGGGTGGGTGTGGCCCATTGGGTGGGCATGGCCCATTGAATGGGTGTGGCTGCGGTGGTAACGGCAGACTGGGTGGGACTAAAAAGTTCAACCAATGAATTCCAACTTTGCAAGATCTTTTTTTTCCCCGCAAGAAGTTGAAATTGACTGATTGAACCTTTTTTTTTTTTTTTGCACATGGTGGAGGCCTAAAGTGAAAAGGTTTTATTAAACCCAGCTGAAGGCCTAGGACTGGGGCGACGGCGCGTGTGCCCACAGAGAGGGCTCTGAGTGCCGCCTCTGGCACCTGTGCCATAGGTTCGCCACCAGTGCCCCACTCCCTTCTAGCATTGATGATGTTACTTAATCCAGTAATGAAACATCTGCAAGGAAATAACTAAACTCAGAGAGCCCCGTGGATTCCTTGGGTCAGCCCTGAGCTGCATATATTCTCTTTTAGAGGCATACTTCCATGTCTTTTCTCCAGCACACATACAAAAATTAGCAAAGGGCACTTCCACGGCTATTGGCAACAAAATCCCACTGATTTTGACCACTGAAATGCACAGTTAGCATTTCTGAAACTGAAATTTAATAGCAGATAGCAGAGGGGTTCTAAAAATAGTGATGACTTCCCACACATAGTTTACATGTTTAGAAGCCGTTAACAATTTTCATTGTATATAATTAAGAGCCCACGTAAGACTTAGATTACTATAACTTGCTTTACAAGGGGCTGCTCCTGATGACTACTCAGAAACTTCAACTGGTTCAGAATACAACCTCTCAAAAATTGAATTACACTCCTATTTGGGGAGCTGCACTGATTTTCTGTTTGGTTCCAGGTGGAATTCAGGATGCTAATGATACTTTTAAAGCTCTACAGAGCTCGGGACTTGGTTATCTAATATAGTGCTTTCCTTCAATGGCCCAGTATTAGCTAAGAATAAATTCACTTTAGTTTTCTTCTCTCAAGGATAATCATCTTTTTTTAAAAATCAAATTTATAGTACAAGATACAAATAAAATACAAAAGGAAAGAGTAGGAAAGATAAGAAAGGGAAAAAGGAAGAGAAAAGTGGGGGAAAGCAAGGGGAAAAAAGAAAAAAAAAGGCATTGACTTCCGACTTCCTTTGGTGCAGTAAAATAGAACATTAACATCAAACCTTATATTTTTACTTTTACATAATAGTATACACTAGCCATTTCGATAACAACAAATCTATCTAATCGGTAAAGCCGAAATACAAAATTTCATTTTTTTTCCCACCTCAAGCACAAAGTCCAGAAGCGGTTTCCACGTAGAAATAAAAGTGTTTGTGTTTTTTTCTTTAATCAAAACAGTCAATTTAGCCATCTCTCAAGGATAATCATCTTGAGGAGTCATGCGGTCAGGTTGTCTTAAATGTAGCCCCTTTTCCTTATTTGCATATTTTGGGTTAGCTTCCCCCTTAAACTCTTACAAGCTTCCAGAAAGCCTCTAATACTTGGATGTTTAAGAAAACTCTGAGAGTAGAACGGATACAAGCTGCAAGTCCTTTTATTGGTGTGCTTTGATGTTTGTCCCTTGGTTGCTGAAACCTTTTATAGCTTTAGTTGTAAGTGTTAATAGTTATTTTATTGTTTTGTTTTTAATTTTAATGTTTAACCATCTTACTGGAAGAGGAGAATGCCAGCTGTGCAGAACCCTTATGAATTGTAGCAGCAAACAGAGTAAGCAGCACAGCAAGCAACCAACCAACTAAACAAATCAATACATGACAACAGTTTATAGCAGGGTAAGCAACAGAAGATCAATTAATCTCAGTGTTGCCTTAAGAGAAAAAAACTTACAAAGGGGTTTTCTCCAATCCTAGACATCAGTAGAAAAGAGTGAAGGTCTCCATGCTTCATGAAGGGCAGGACAACCATTGGGATTGGAAGGCGACCTTTAGGCCGATTACGCAAACTGACCCCTTGTTCGAGAGAACAGAAACGTGCAATTAACAAGATTCACTATACCTGAAATAAATTATCATAAATAATTAGCCTACTTCCCTCTTCACAAATTGCTGAAAATTACACTACATCCTGAGAGAGTAACGTTTCTAAACTCTTGGTTTGACCCAGTCCATGTATTAATCCCATCTATTCTTATTATGCTTCACAAGGTTATATTTAAGCAGTACAAGTAGTCCTCAACTTATGACCACAACTGAGCCCAACATTTCTGTTGTTAAGTGAGACATTTGTTAAGTGAGTTTTGCCCCATTTTACAACCTTTCTTGCTACAGTTGTTAAGTGAATCACTGCAGTTGATAAGTTAGTAACCTGGTTGTTAGGGGAATCTGGCTTTCTGGTTGACTTTGTTTGTCAGAAGGTCACAAAAGACGATCCCATGACCCCGGAACACAGCAAAGGTCATAAATATGAACCAGTTGCCAAGCATCTGAATTTTGATCATAGGATCGTGGGGATGCCACAAAGGTCGTAACCTTGAAAAACGGTCATATTTTTCAGTGCCACTGTAACTTTGAACAGTCACTAAATGAACTGTTGTAAGTCAAGAACTAACTGTGTAAAAAAAAACCCTAGGCATTCTTCAAATAATCTAACTTTTTATCTGGATCAAGTAGCATTCAAAAATACCATATGATAACTCCAAGCTGTTTTTTTTCCTTATTTGGCCTCAGAAACATTCCATCTGAAGCAATAGGATGGTTTCAGCCTAGTAGTTATATTTCTCGGCTATCGCAACTACTTGCTTCCAACTCTGCAGCCTATTTATAATATTGGCTCACTTTCTCAGGCTCATTTTTGAGAACCAATATATGCTGGAGAAATGAGGACTATCAAATCAGAATAGTCTTTAGGAAAAAGTATTTGAAATGTAATAATATATATACGCACTGAGAACGACTATACTCTAAATATATTGGTGACTACTGTTCCTTCTTCTAATTTTATATTACATGGCTTGTTGAAAGTCTCTGTTAATTGTTTTGCTTGGGTTTATTTTTGGTAATCCTTGTTATTTTTTAAATTCTTTGCTAATATTGCTTCTTTATTGTTTCAACAGATTCCTAGCTATACAGAGTTGGATTTGTGAGACAGGCAGCCATATTGATAGATTTAATAAATTAATAAATTTCCTTCTACAAATAAACTGTAAACTATATAGTTTGGGACCCTCTAGTGCAAACATTAAATGTGACAATGCTCACCTATTAATTTAGTAATGTGTGGATGGTTGAACTCTTTCATGCAAGCAGCTTCTTTCAGGAACTCCTCTATGTCATTGGAAGTGAAGATGTCAGCTAAAATAAAGGGAAATACTATTGAGATTTCTTTTAAACTCATTGGGGGCAAATTAAAGAAAAGGAGCAGAATGGACAAGGAACAGTTAGGAGTCTACAGGAAAAGCTGAAAAAGTAGTAAAACAGGTGAAATGAATAAAAGTTCAAGACAGGCACACTGCAGTCTGTTTAGTCCATAGAACTGGCCATTAAATATAAGTCAAATAGATTAACAAATAGATTGGATATGAACAGTGTTACTAGTTATATTTTAATTTACCAGTGCTAATGTGCAGATTGTGGATCACATTTGTCAAACATTTAAGTTATGAAAAAAAAGGAATATAAATGAAACCATAGAGTACAGCATCATTACACTATACTGAGTGGGGCATATGGGAATTAAAATCCCAATATATCTAGAGCAGGGGTGTCAAACTCAATTTCATTGAGGGCCGCATCAGCATTGCGGTTGCCCTTGGGGGGCCGAGTGGGTGTGGCCAGGGTGGGTGTGGCCTACTGGGTGGGTGTAGCCTACTGGGTGGGTGTGGATGGAGTGGGTGTGGTCTACTGTGTGAGCATGGCCAGCTCTACATTGTTTGCGTCAAGGGTGCCTGTGGGGGCCTGGGCAGGAGTGGGACAGATCTGAGGGTCTCTGGCAGAAGGGGGTGGGACCGGGGCAAGCACCAAGGCATGGTCCATTTCTTCATTCCTCACAAAGGGTGACACCTCCCCAGCATGCACCCAGGGGGCGGGGCCAACGTGGCAGGGGCTGGTTCTTCGCTGTTTCTGGACGGCCTTGTGGAGCTAAGACTGAATGCATTTCAGCATAGATGGCCACCACAAAATTGTACATTGGCTCCCGGCTTGCCTGGGCCAGGGCCAAGGCAGCGGGGGCCGTTCCCTCACTGTTTCCAGGATGGCTTCGCGGGCCACATGAAACCACTTCGCGGGCTGCATCCGGCCTCTGGGCCTTGTGTTTGACATGTCTGATCTAGAGGATGTCAGTCTGAAGGCTGTTGGTTTTGATGCTATACTTTGGTTATGCTTATATCTCTACTTTTTATGCTTATATTGTTCACTGCCCAGAACTGCGCTGGTGAGAAGGGTGGCCATATACATTGAAATAAAGAAATACGCATTCAAGGAATTTGTGTCAATTATAGGCAATATGAAGAAAAGGGAAAATGAGAAGGAAGGTTAAGCACAGCCAACTATTGTTTGGTGAGAATACACAAACTCAGAAAATGGAAGGTTCATGGTGACAAAATGGCATGGAGACAGCTCAAATAATTTAGAGTTACTCACCTTTTAGCATTTTCACTGCAACTTTCTGGAGAGAGCCATCAGGCATTTTCAACTGACCCTCCCTGACGGAGCCAAATTCCCCTAATAAATTACAAAAAAAAGTAAAGTAAAGGAGGGCAGTAATTGGAAAAGCTCACTGTAGTTAAAGTTTGTTTTAGGATCAAGAGTAGAATGTTTAGGTTAAAAGTTATAAAGATGTAAACTACTAAGTTAGAGTTTCTTCCAGTTTCTTCCATGGGAATATTCTCTGAGAAGGAATATAAAAACCATCATGTACTAAAAGACTACAGACTTTTTTTCTCCAAAGGAATACAGAAAAACAGGAATTGGTAATAAATAGCCAACTTATGCTAGAATCAATAGAACATAAAATTGTTTAACTGTATTGTATATATAAATATTAAAGAGATGCTATGGAAAATGGAGTTTTGATAGGGTGCTAGTAACAAGCTACAGCAATAATCTTCCTAAACCTCTCCTGATGCTCCAAAAATATTTCTGCTGCCATAACCCTTGTACTTTCTACTTCCCTATTAGCTTTGTTTCTATTCATTTCCTGCAGCTTTCACACATTTTGTAAATGCATTCTCCCGTTCCACTTTCATGCTATTCTTCTTCATTTTTTCTAAGTCTCTCATATTCTTTGATATGGTAAGTTCCTTATGCCCTCAGAAATGCATTTAATAACCACAATTTACAGGCATAGAGTACTTGCATTTTTTAGTCCTATATAATTCAATCTGTCAGCCTCGATTTTCTTCTAAAAGCACCTATGGAATGATAAGTATTCCCGATCTAAAGCTCCAGTTCCTAGCTACAATCAGTTGAAACTACTGCCATTTAGGGTGACTAAGTCCTTAGAAATCAGATATTTATAAACGAATGTATAGGATTGGGCTTAAACAAAGTAAGGCCTTGGATGACCACTCACCCTTGCCTAGCATTCTTCCCAGAGTAAACTGTTGCTCCTGAATTAGGACATCTTTCAGTTTGATCTTCAGTTCATCACTGATTCCTATACTGTCCACTGGATAAACAGAAGAGAACAAGGGCAACTTAATCAGGATTCAGTCTAGCTTTAATCACTGTCTTGATCGATATTCTTTTGATCCAAGATATAGTTAATGTTGTATAATTTAGAATAATGTTCCCTCAGCTTGGGCATTGAGATGTGTTAAATTACAAGCTCCCATTATATTTGGCTAGCACAAACTTTGATACCATGACTGGAAAACATAGGAATTAAGGTTAGATGCACTGAAGAGTAGCAGGTTGAGGAACATTAAGTAAGTTTGTGTGAAAAACGAACAAGCTTGTTTTGGAAATGCAATAAATTCACTCTTACTCTCTAGGACGTAATTCCTTTCTTTAGTCTTATAATAGATATAAAGCAACAAAGATACAATAAAGTTGCTTTTTTTTCAGTGCTATAAAATTTCAGAGTTTCATATTATTGAACTACTTTCCTTGAATGATAAAAAATATAGGAGTTTAAAATCCAGCCATTCCCATCCTGGTCATCTCCACTTAATGACTGGCAATTCTGGGAGTTACAGTCTGGAGAATACAAGTGGGAAAAGACTGCTTTAAGCAATATCTATGAATCAACTTCAAAGATAGCAATTTATGCTTCAGTCTGAAAATGGCAAGCCATAGCTTTTATGATATAATCAAGTTCCAAACAGTAGCACAATAGTTGAACTCTGATTTGAAATATAGTACAAAAGTGTATCACTACTTCAAACTTCAGAGTTTGATCATTTCCCTACCCCCCCCTCACCCCAGTTTATGTGAAAACAAGGGCCTGTTGTCAGCTGGATTTACTGTATATCCTAATGAATGTGCATAAGATATTCATTTTACTCGTAAATAATTTGAGTCAGGATTTGGCTAAAAAGAAACAAAATGAAAACAAGGCCTTGATGGCATGGGAATCCAGCTTTGTAGGACCTCCCCCCTACAGAAGTCAAAGGAACATGGGTACCAATTTTGCATAAGGCATAGTCTTATTTAGTCTTTCAATTTGGGAAATGAATAGGATATTACATGTATCATCATCATCGTCGTCATCATCATCACCATCACAGTACTATTAGGAAATGGTTTAATGGAGGAAGAGAACAGCACTTTAGCTAAGAGAATGGAAATACACTTGCTGAGGGAAAGAGTCACATATATTTTACCTACATGTCACTTCAATAAGCTCTGGGACTTCTCGGTTGAATGATCGCACTGCTCTGAAATGGACTACAGGATCACCTCCAACCACGCTGCCAAAGGCTTGACTAAATGGGGGGGGGGGAAGGGAGGGAAGCAAAGAACATCTCATGAAATGTGCAAAGTACTACCAAACCTAAGTTGATTTATGTATTTACTACAGACAACAACTAAGAACCTCTTTATCTTGGTAACTATTTCTTTTTTTCTGAGGCAGTGCAAAATATCAGAAGACCCAGGAAAACTTTTCCATACTTCCGAAGGGTTAGGGTAAAATTAGGGTAAAAATTAGGGTAAAATTGGAGAACTCATGGCTGGCTCAGGAATTCTGGAAGTCCAAAGTCATAAAAAGGTCATAGCTCCCCACCCTTGTTCTGCTTCTTCTTGGCTATGCCACTCTTTCGTTATGGTTCTTTCTCTCCCTACCATCTTAGTGGCAGTGTGTTACATAATCAGTGGCAAAGGAAAGTCTTCAAGCCAATTCTACAAGTTGCTTATCTGGAGGGCAATTTGTTGACCTAATCAGTCTTTCCATTCCACGAACCAGATATTTTAAGGTTGCAATTCTTAAATCAGGAGGACAAAGACCATCATATTTTCCATACCCACGTGTGTGTGTGTGTGTGTGTGTGTGTGTGTGTGGTGTGTGTGTGTGTGAAAGAGAGAAAGGGAGGAGGGAGAGGGAGAGAGAGAAAGAGAGAATATGAAAGAGAATATGAAAGAGTATACAAAACATCAAGTGAAAATGAAATGCTTTACATCAGGGGTAGTCAACCTTGGCTCTTTTATGACTCGTGGACTTCAACTCCCAGAATTCCAGCTGGCTCAGGAATTCTGGGAATTGAAGTCCACGAGTCATAAAAGAGCCAAGGTTGACTACCCCTGCTTTAGATGATTAAAGGCTATGCCGGCTAGGAATTCTCACTGACATATCAGGGGCCAACATTTTGAGGACCTCTGCGCAAAGGGATGCTGAAATTACAATGGAGATGATAAACAGCAAAAGAAGACTTTTACCCAAATCGCGTTTCTTTTCTTCTTTTCCGTAGAAGGATTAGGGCTAAGGCAACTGCTGTAACCAGCGCAGTCAGAATTCCTAAAACCACAGGAACCCAGGATGTTCCATAAAGAGGCTGCCTTTGCCCCCCTGTTTAGAAAATAAAATCCTTGTGAAAAAAAAAAAGCTAAATACGTTTAGCATATAGACATTTTTCTCCATGAAAATGCTTTAGCTCTAGAAGGAGATCCACTAGTCATATTCTAAATAACTCTAAAACGATGTAGCAACACAGCCAAAGCTGCTGTTCTGCAAGGTTTGATGTGGCACATCTCCATCTGGTCAGTTTCTGGGCTGCCATCATTAGAACAGAAGAGCCAAAATTGTCAGATACTTTGATCTGAGAATCCTTATAAACCATTTGGGGGGGGGGAACTCAAATACAGAAAATATTATTTCTATTAATCTAGGCCAGTGGTTCTCAACCTGTGGGTCGGGACCCCATTTGGGGTCGATTGACCATTTCATGGGGGTCGCCAAGCAAGGCTGTCCGCCATTTTTTTTGTCCGCCATTTTTTTTGTCTGCCATTTTTTCCCCTTTTCCAGCGGGTGCCTTACCTCCCTTGGGCTGGGCCAGCTGGTGGTCGGCCTGCTCCGTCTCTGCCACTTGCCAGCTACGCCTCGGCCGGCGCAGGGGGCGGAACCACGCATGCGCGGCGCTCCCGGGCAGGGAAAGTCCTTGACTTACGACCGGTTGGGTAGTCCTCGACTTACGACCGGTTTAGTCCTCGACTTACGACTGGTTTAGTCCTCGACTTACGACTGGTTTAGTCCTCGACTTACGACCGGTTGGGGTCGCGGCATTAAAAAGGTTGAGAACCACTGATCTAGGCCATATCACGCTCACAGATTTTTTTTCATTTATTTTTTAATAATACATTAACATCAAACAAATGGTAAGGGAGCCATTTGTATTGTATTGATCTTTTCCTTCAGATGTCAAACTTTCCTTTACACAGAAAATTTGTAATAGTCCCAGCCAGTCCCTGCTTCTGTTAGATTATTTGAAGCTATTTGGTTTTTATCTGTAAGAACATAATACAAATGCAGCTGGGAATATTGGAAAGAGCACAGCCAGAGAAATAGTACAATAGTACCAGTTCTCTCACTGTTCCTCATCTGATGCACCATATTAACCACAGCCCATTTTCCTCAAACACAAACGCTTCCTGCATTTGCCACTTACCTATTAAATCTTGAGATGTAAGCAATAAAGGCTCACTCCAAGGTCCACAACCAGCTGAACTGAGTATACAGACCTTGATCGTAAGGTCTTTTAAGGGATTCCACATAGAAAGGTTAGCTCTTGCTTCCTTCACAATAATTTCCCCCTATAAACAAAAAACCATAAATGGTGCATCGTCATTCAAGTGACACTTATTCATTATTACCTCTGAATCAGAAAATCAGTTTCTTCTGTTCCAAGTTATCCAATAATCCTGGAATTATGGTTTGTTGCAGTCTATTATTATTGTTGTTGTTCTTAGGCGTGGTGGCGCAGTGGAGGAACTCATTGCCACAAGATGCAGTGAAATCTATTAGCAGCATTTTCAGTTTATGAAGGTAAGAACATTTATCACTGGTAATAAGGATCAATGGGTTATTTAAACTTCTGTGTTTGGGCATTTAAGCATATTGGACAGTCATTACTATATTTTCCTGCTTGACCACTAGCTAGCTAAAGAATGATGGGAACTGAAGAGCAATCCATCTGCAAGCTATAAGATTAGAAAAGGTTTTCTTAAATAGACTTTGTCCTGCTCCACCAAGGTTTATTACCTGAGTTATGTTATCTTGGCTCCACTCCAGCCTGTATCCTAAGGCATTCTCCCCAAACATTTCTGGAGCTACTGCTTCCCATTCCAAAATCAGACAAGAGTCTCTTTGGATAATGTGTACATTTTGTGGAGTACAATTTGGAGCTGTAAGGGAAAGAAAATCACAATGTATATGTTGTGTTGTTTAAAAGAGCGCTACTGAGTGGTAAGCCTCAAAGTACAGAAGAGTTTTAGGAAACCCAGATATCCTATATGCTAATAATAATCATTTATTAAATTCGTAGTTAAGTTCTACACAGTCTTCTAAAAGGTTTCCCACCTTTTCAACAAGCTCTAAACACTGAAACATCCATTTTATCCAGATACTTGGAAGAACTAGTAACAGTTCCAGAGTTTCCAATTAACTGTACAATAGAAAGCAACAACCACAAAGGGAGATGATTGACTGCTTGAAGCAGCACTGAATTTTGCATGTCGCTTGCAATCTTAGTTTAACCAGACATGCAATACGGTTGTTCAATTAATCAAAAAAGTTGCTGATATCCAAATGTTTTCTGATTCAACGGGGAAGAATATCTTTTAAGAGTTCCATGCACTCTAGCCCTCTAAGACTTACCTAATCCCAAGGTCTGAAAATAGACCCAATCTGAAAAAGGAGAGCTGCCCATCTCATTAGAGCACTGGATTCGAACACTGTAATTGGTGGCGTGCTTTAAACCTGGTAAAGCCCTTGTAAAGGGAGGGACAGAGAAAACTTCGGTGACCACCTCATCCTCTTCCTGCAGCTCAGCTACCAGCTGAAAAAGGGATAAAACAAAAAAGGTGAACAGATTCATGGATTTCACATAAAATGTGTCACTGAAGAAAGTCATAAATCCTTAGGAGAGCTGCATTAAATAAATGATGTATTTGAGACTAGAGTATTTTGAAAGCTACTGCCAATGTCTCATGCGTCTTGATGAACAAACAAAGGTATTCTGTAAATACAACCTGAACCATGTCCTCCTCCCCATCTTAAAGCTCAGTAAAACTGCGACTAACTTCATTAATGGAAAAATGAGAAATCTCATACATCTACAATAGTTGTGAGATCTCACAGGTGAGGATTCTTGGAATTGCAGCCACCTATGGAGATCAATAAGAGGAGGAAAGCTGCTACATGAAAATAAAGCTTGCATCTAGGTTTTTTTTTTTTTTATCTCTCTGGGCTTTGTACTTTGATTTCTTTTTTTATTGATTCCCTTTTTTCACGGCATGCTTCTCTCTTAGTTTCAAAGAGAAACCTGTTCAATTATCCAAACAATTATTGTTTAAAAAACACATTTATTTCACGTTAGGCATGCACACATATCTTTTATTCCAGCATCAACTCCAATGAAACAGACTCTGCAATCTGTATACCTCTGTACTGCATGCATTACGGTTAGAGATAACAGTATGAGTGAGCCTGCTTTTCATAATGGTGTCTATACAAGAATGCGTTCAGCTCTTTTCTCCAGCCCTAGAAAAATAACAAACCTTCCTTTCCTGCAAGCACCAGGGACTGCTAGTAGTAGAAAGATGGCTCAGAGGGCAGTAATGTTTACAAATAAATGCATATTTGCATTTTTCTGCTGTGGTAGCTCTTGTCTCCAGTTGATCTTTTTATACCAGATCGTGGTTGCCTCACTAAACTCCACAGATCAGAGAATGAAATGCTTCTTTGTTTTTCCCAGCATGGGACAGAAATGGATGTAAAGGGGGATGGGGATGGGGATGGAATCCACTGTCTAAGTTTGCAATTTGCTCCTCTCTCCCAGCTTCACCCGTGGGGGGGAAAAAGGTTGTGGGGAGGAGTCTGGAACTTAGAGAGATTAGCACTGTGTGCAGTGACAGATGGACGTGCACATTAGGAAGAATAGGCTGTACCTAGTACAAACAGGCAGCATTCTAATGTGCAAGAGGAAATTCATTCTGATCTGTCAAGTGTCCCAAGAAAGCCGCAATAAACACGATGCAGGGAGGGCTGCATGCAGAGAGTAGAGGGTAGTGCCATTAGCTCAAAGGGCTTTTTGGTTTCTTGAAAGTCATAGATAAGAGGGCATTCTGCATCTCCAATGAAACAGAATAAAAGGGACAAATTACAGCCTCTACCTGGTTGTTCATGCTTTCAAAGTTACAGTTTTCATTGTCCCTCAGGATTAAGTATAAGCTGCGGCCAAAGGCACCTAGAAAAACTGTGTTTAGTCCACGGCTCCATCACAGGACTGAGTTGAATCTAAAAAGGCCAAGGCTTTAAAAATAACTATTCTCTTTTTCTTTCTTTCTTTCTTCTCCAGTTCTGTTTCTGTAACATCACTTAAACACCTTGTTCTGTCAGCTTGATTAGCCCTAATCATAGTTGTGTCCATGCAGTCACCACAAATCAATGTCTCAAGGGAGACATTTTTATCTTAATCATGCTCAACTATTGGAAGAAGGCTTTTTTTTAATATTTAAGAATACTGATTGCTATAACAACCCCCTGGAGAAGTCCAGGGTAGCTACATTAATCTATAGAGATGAGTCTGGTCATTTAGAATAAATGAATTCTCAGCTGAAATTCTCATCTCTCCTAAACCCATAACAAATTTGCAGTCCTGAATTCATCTGTCGAGGCTGACTCATGGCTTTCCTCAGCAAGAAGTATAAAACTATTTACTTCAATATATATACATATAGTATTTGCTTCAAGGATTGCAAAACTCCCACCCATTTGGCTCAAAATCATAAGTAAACAGCTTCGTGCCAGACCAGACCATTTCCAAAACAAAACACAGGTGAAATTATCCTTCCTACTTCTAGCCCATTGTACCCCATGAAAATTCCTGATATTTTTATTATGGCTTTATTAGATCTTCAACAATAAATCTACTTAGCTGATTTTTCTGTAATAATAATAATAATAATAATAATAATAATGATAATGATAATGATAATGATAATGATAATGATAATGATAATGATAATGATAATGATAAAGTTGGAAGGGACCTTGGAGGTCATCTAGTCCAACCCCCTGCTCAGGCAGGAAACCCTATACCATTTCGGACAAATGGCTGTCCAGTTTTTTCTTAAAAACTTCCAGTGTTGGAGCATTCACCGCTTCTGGAGGCAGGTTGTTCCACTGGTTAATTGTTCTAACTGTCAGGAAGTTTCTCCTTAGTTCTAGGTTGCTTCTCTGTTTGGTTAGTTTCCACCCGTTGCTCCTTGTCCTGCCTTCAGGCGCTTTGGAAAATAGCTTGACTCCCTCTTCTTTGTGGCAGCCCCTGAGATATTGGAACACTGCTATCATGTCCCCCCTCGTCCTTCTCTTCATTAAACTAGACATACCCAATTCCAGTAACCGTTCCTTATATGTTTTAGCCTCCAGTCCCCTAATCATCTTTGTTGCTCTTCTGTGCACTCTTTCTAGAGTCTCAATATCTTTTTTACATCGTGGTGACCAAAACTGGATGCAGTATTCCAAGTATGGCCTTACCAAGGCATTGTAAAGTAGTATTAATACTTCACGTGATCTTGATTCTATCCCTCTGTTGATGCAGCCTAGAATTGTGTTGGCTTTTTTGGCAGCTGCAGCACACTGCTGGCTCATATTTAAGTGATTGTCCACTAGGACTCCGAGATCCCTCTCACAGTTACTATTATTGAGCAAGGTACCCCCTATACTATACCTGTACATTTGGGTTTTTTTGCCTAAATGTAGAACCTTACTTTTTTCACCATTGAATTTCATTTTGTTAGATAGCGCCCAGTGTTCAAGTCTGTGTCATTGGAAAGCTATTCTTGCTCTTTCTTGCCTAGCCAATCAGAAGGATCTTTAATCCTTTCCCATCATCTCAGTTGCTATTGAAAAAAGCCTTGCATTGGCACTAATAGTTTTTTTTTACTACTTGTGTTACACTAAAGGAAGAGATAAAAATCACAGCTAAAAATATTAAGTTCAAAATTAATCATAGTGCTAATAAAGAAGAAAAAGGCTTGAATATTTTCTTGGGGGAAAAAGACTGCTTCTAGCGTGTGGATAGCTGAGCTGCTGCTGGAAGGGAAGAGTTAATTTTTTCTTCCTCCTAGACTGCAATTGGTCTTCCAAAACTGTATTGTCAAAGAGGCTTGAAAAGCACTTTCTGCTGAGGACTATAGGAAGCTTTTCCAAACCTAGCTCTTCCCGATCAGCATCTTTAGCAGTAGTGTCTACCATAAGCCATGATATCATAGGTGTGTAAGCTCATCATGTAAATTATGTACTTGCATCCCAATATCTGACACAAGTACATAAGTTGCAGGGATTGGTGGCCAACAGATCTAAATATATACCGTATATACCTATATTTGTATGATGCTATCACCAGACATTATCATTTACCAATCCTTTCTTCATTCTATGGTAAAACTTTTCAGGGCAATTTTCAAGTATTCAAGAAATAAACATAGCAGAAATCTTCAATGCCTAAATAAGCTGTAGGAACTAGCAAATAAAATTTAATTGCCCAGTTTAAAAATCCAGGAAGAGTTCCATTTTTCATGCCAACTCAACTAGTTTAAGAGAAAGTCACTGGGAATAAGTGAACTTTAGGGATTTCCCAAGCCTGAAAGGAAGGGATTTCACCTAACAGAAGACAGCTGAAAGGGATTTTCCCCTTGCATTTGTTTCAGAGTTAGGCAGCTAGCACGGGGTTTTCAGACAAACCTTGTAAGTCTAAATGCAGATGAAAAATCCTTTGGGGAACTTGGCCTCAAACCATTTCAGTTTTAGATCCTAACCAGTACTTTGAACCAAAATGAGAGTTCAATGGCAACCAGAGCAGCTAGTGAAAGTATCAGTGCCATCTGAACCCATTGTTACTTGGGTGACCAATGTGATGAAACAATAGAGTACTTACACCCTACTAAGGCAAGTGAAGAGTTAAGTGAGAACTTCCTATAAGAGGACAGAAAGATAACAAACTGGAGAGATGCCTGTGCACACACACACACAACACAACTGGCAGTAGACATGTGGTAGTTGTAATTAAGAGTGCTGGCAAACCATGTGAAAAAAGAAACTAATTCTGACCATAAATGTGAAGTTCTGAACCTTTCAACAGAACAGAATAGAATAGAATAGAACAGAACAGAACAGAATAAACTTTATTGTCACTTTAAATGTACACCAATCAGCATACATTAAAGTGAAATTTCATTACATTCAGCTCTCAAAGAGTAACCACCTCCAATATATAAACATAACAAAAGAGTATGCATATAACCATATATCACACATATATAACACAGAGGAACAACACAGTCTAGTTCAGATGTATACATATACATGGCGAGAAAAAAGGAATCCTGCGAATTTACAAGATGGATGGCATAAGGAACAAAGCTGTTGTAGAATCTAGTAGTCCTGTTAGAAATACTTCGAAACCTCCTCCCAGAGGGGAGCAACAGAAACAGACTGTGAAGTGGGTGTGCAGGGTCTCTAACAATACTTTGAGCTCTAAGCACATAGCACTTATAAGCAGTTCCTGAATAATGGGAAGTGAGCTTCCTATAATCTTCTCAGCTGTCCTTACCACTCTCTGTATGGAACTTCTATCTGAAGCACTGCTACCACCAAACCAAGCAGTGATGCAGTTTGTTAAAACGCTTTCAATTGTGCCTCTGTAAAAAGTTGCCAGGACGGAAGGAGAAAGATGTGCTCTCCTCATCCGATGCAGGAAATGCAGACACTGGTTTGCACAAAAACCAGCAGAAACATATAATCTATTCAGACAATGTACTCTTGTTAAATAAAATGTTGAACGATCCACTGACAGTAAACAAGGAGACTGGCTATAATACTCCTCCCTGCCTACCACAAGAAGAACTAGAGAGGGGACAACCTCAGTGTACAAGGTCTAAATTTATAATTTTGGAGTAGTGGCAATGGGATTTTGAATTTATGCCCCACAAAACTTTGCAGAATATAGGCAACTTCTGACCAAATAAATCTAGCCACTTTCTCATCAACAGAAAATTCCAAAACATCTTCAAAAACAAACCCAGGTAGAGTAAATTACAGTAGTCCAACCTAAATGTTAAATCCATGCATAGATCTTCTCTAGACAGGACCACAGCTGGTAGAACAGATCATCTCAGATAAAATAACTGCTATCACCAAGGTTATCTCAACATTAAAAACTTAGGAGAACTTCTACACTGTATATTTGAATTTTAGAAAAAATCTCTGATAACAACTGCAAATGTCTATTTCACATGGTCTTCTTTCCTACAGACAGTATCTCCATAGTATAAATTAAGTCTCAGCTTCTTCATTTCAGAGTGAGTATGAGTATGAAAGGCATTCGTAGGTGTTGCTTTGGTCAACCCCAATTTTGGCTTTGGCCTGCCCACTGCTGGAATGCAGCCACGAAATAAATGCATATCTTATGAGTGTATCTATGCCTCAAAGTGAAAAAGATCTCCACCCTTGTTTTGCATGCTGCTGTTTCTTATTCTGGGGCCACACCCTCAGGATTTTGGCCTCTAGTATTTCTGCTTCAAGGACACCTGCAACTCAGTTTTGACAACAACATATTGGAGAACTGTGTGAACTGGTTCAATCTGAGAAGCAATTACCACAATCAATTGCTCCAATGCATGATCAGGTTGCAAAGCTTGTTATTGCCCATTGTTCAGTGATTCCTGTTGGGACTGGCCTCAGAGTATTTGATGCTTGAGACATAGCAGGAGCAGGCACATGTTCCTCAGCCTTTCTGCAATATTCCCAATAACAACTGTACTTGAAGCAGAAAATCCCTCATGTTCTCTGTCTTCATCCGAAACTCAACATGAAATGGTTCGTTCATGATTTATATATTTCTTCCTGGAGCTCCACAACAATATAGCTTCAGAAATGCCTTATAATGTTTCCTATGGAGCTATGGGCCAAACGTTTTCTCACTGGCAAGAACTCTTACATCCAGGAATGTTCTTATTCCGCCCCTTTCCTGCAGTAAAGATTAGTTTTAAAGATATACCAATTCCAATTTGGCTCAGAGTCCCCTCTTCCAAGAAAGAGATTCAAGTCATCTGTCCATCTGCCTCTCTGTCCGTCCGTCCGTCCGTCTGTCCATCCATATCTCTCTCTCTCTCTCTCTCTCTCTCTCTCTCTCTCTCTCTCTCTCTCTCTCATCTCTTTTAGATTTTTTTTTAACGCCACCTTTATTATTTTTTATAAATAATTCAAGGTGGCGAACATACCTAATACTCTTTCCTCCTCCTGTTTTCCCCACAATAACTTCATTCTGATCCTTAGCACTTTATCAAAGGATTGGACACAGAGTTAGAGGTCTGCTTGAATGCTGATTAGCTTTTTTACTAGTCTGCTGCTTGTGACAAAGTCAAGCAAATAACATTAGATTAAGTAATGGGGACTTTATAAAGCTCCATTGTTTAGAACAGTGGAAACTGAAACTGGAAAACAAGTTCTGTCATGTAAAACTAAGGTTTAGCAGTTTAGTTTGGAGAGGACATATATCCAATCGTATCATACCTGTACTGTACAAGAATGTAGGGGGGAAAGGCCATCGAATCCTGGTTGCCAAATGACACTGGCATTGTTGCTGGTGATCTTAGTGACTGTCACATTGAAAGGTGGAAAAGGGATCGCTGAAACAGAAGGAAGATTTTTAACATATGCAAAACTGAGCAATTATTTACATAGAAATGTGCAAGTGCTACAGTCTGGGACTTTGGACAACAATCCCTGAGAGGTGCTAATTGAGCTATGAATGAACAGAGGTAGCCTGCTCATGACATTATAAATCCCGATTAACACTGAATATCTTTTTCCCGAGTTGATGGTTAAACAGAGAAAATAATGAACATTTGTTGCTTTCAAAAACATTCTGTTATGGAATCTGAGAGTCAAGTGATAGTAGTCTGACATTTCTTAAACCTTTCGAATAACATGGTTTTCTTCCCGGCACAGTACTAGCCCTATGTCATACTTGCATGTGTCTCCTATAATACACACACACACACACACACACACACACACACACACACACACACACATGCAAACACACATTTTCTTCCATTCCGTTGTGTCCAACTCTTGGAGTGTCACTAGTATGTAGACAAGTCCCTGCAGTTTTCTTGGCAAATCCTTGGCTGGCTTGCCATTGCTTTCTTCCTAGGGCTGAAAAAACTGACTGGCCCAAGGTCACCCAGGTGGCTTTATGCCTAAGATGGGCCTAGCACTCACATCTTTCGGTTCCTAATCTGATGATTTAACCACTACAGCAAACTAACTCTCATTACTTATGTATTGGAATGCATTTAAACACTGGAAAAGAACAGGATTAAAAAAAACCTACAGAAATTCAGAAAAGTTTGTTCAGTTCTTATAAAAATGTTCCATGAAAAATGTGACATTTTTAATCTTTATTAATGAACAAGCAATCCTACGTCATTCACAATGCAGTCATTTACACTCATTCTGTTGAGATAATAGAGATAATCATCCCTTATAAAAACTTCTATCTCATTCCGAAGTTTATGAGGCTTGCAAAAAATTTGAGTATGTAATGAGATTTATCTGAGTGATACATCACCCAATATCAGAACAATATCACTTTCCCTTAGTCTCAGCAAACACAAAAGGGGATGCAATTGTTGCTGAAGTCATTGGAGTCACTAATGGTTCAGGCAAGCAACTCTCATTTAGCTGGAAACCCTTAGTCCTCTGATTATGAGTCACAGTTGTTTGGGAAGTTCAATTACTGTAATTCCAATATTTTCAAGGTTGTATAAAAAATCTGGCACCAACTGAAGCTTCCATGTGCATGTATCAGTACTATTGTTTGGAAGCAGCTTCGACCTTTTCCATATTTTCCTGCCCAAATTTCTATATTCTCCAAATTAGGTTGTGTAATACCCCCTCCACTTCCCTGATCAAGTGAGAAGATGTTTTGACATAGCACCCAGTAATAAACTTGATTTACTAAAGAGATTTGTTTTTGTGCTTATTTTATAGCCTTTTTCAAAACAAGTTATTTTTTATTGTTTACTATTCTATTATTATTGATTACAGCTTTAAAATAATTTACGTTTTATAGTTCGATTTCTCAATTTGTAATCCATTTCCCTTCTGATTTAGTTTTTGTTGTTTTATATGTAATATTGAGCAGTTTTGGCAACTGCTCAGAGAACTTACATAAGTTGGTTATTAGGAAAACAAATCACATTAATGGGTAAAAAGTCTACACCCAACCCTTTGCACTACTTCAGAATTTCCACAGCCTTCCTGAACCAACTTTATTCATGCGTTATATATGCATATGGCATTCAGCGTCTCCCCAATGCCATGTGCTTTTAATTACGCTATTACTCAATATCTGAAAACTTCAGAAGAGAAACCACTGTTCAGGAACCGTTTCTCTGACACATCTGCAAATAATACACAGAGGAGAGTAGTTCAGGGGCAAGAGTAGAACTTATCATTCTTTGCCCTTATTTTACTGATTTCTGCTGTATATAAATATGACATGCCTTACAAAAATCAATGCCCTCTACACACTAGTGACACTACACACTGAATATTGCAGATACTATTTCGAGAGGGTAGCTATAGATCTTATGAATACAAAAGCCAACAACACAGAACCAAACAGAAGTCGGCACCTTCAGGAATGATCCATCCCTCCAGGACCCTTTTGATTTTAGATCATCCTGGACAACAGACTAAAAACTGCTACACCTCCTTGCTAATTACATTGCAAATGATGCGAGGAAAGAACATGTCTTCACAATTCAGTCTTGCTTGAAAAAGTTCCAGACATGCTCTTTCCATAAGTATTCTGAGATTAATATTTCTTTTTTCATTTGTACTTTATTGCTGTTGCCATCGTGACATTCATTGGCAATATTTCATTGAAAGTATATAGGGAGACAGGATAAATTTGAAATGAGATGAAGTCACAGTTTGGATGAGTCTTATAATAAAACACATGGTTGAAAGGAATATGAGAAAGTACAGGGAACTGTCAATGAACAGGAAAAGAAAGGGGGAACGCATAGGAGCAGTTGCTTAATCATGACACTTTTTTTTTTTGGTAAACACTAGAAATAAAAAGGGTAAAGATTTTGATGACACTGCTGGCTTGAGAAAACCGTTTCCAATTTCTTCCTTGGTTTGTTGTCTTTTTAAATATAAATTCAAGCTGGTTGCCTCTCATTTATCTTGTTCTGGCCCATTTTCCCCTAGTTTACTCTCAAGCTCCTCGCTCTCCATATGTTCTCTCAGATACACCCCTTCACTGCTCCCGTCATCTCCTGTTCCCACTCATGGCTCAATGGTTCCATTCATGTTGCCACTGATACTTGAAACCAACTCCCACTCCTTGCTTGGCAAAGGCTTCCTCTTACCTTTAGATCATTTCCTTGCCATTAGTTTCTAGAGCAGAAACTCCTCATACTTTGTTTACTTGCAGTGCTTTCGAATATTTTACCTCAAACTTCTAAATATATCTGAGAATTTAGTCCAAGCTAGAAACCTAAATCTAGCTTCTCCTCATCTCACCAAAGCTTCAAACCTTAGAAGCATGAATTACTAATTTTTGGTTGCCATTAATAAGAGGGGACTCAGTTCCAATCCTTGCTGGGCAGTCTGTTGCCTCAAAACAAAGACAGTGCAGTTTTCTGTCCAAGAGCGAAAGAGTTAAAGAATTAAATAACATCCCCCAATCAGACCAGTTTCAAGAAATTTGGAATTCTTTCCCACAGTTATAGTGGGTCAAATCAATTAGAAAGTGGCATCTCTAAATGAAATCAATATTTTGTTTTCTTCACTGGGATTTGTTGGAATCTAATGACCTGGTTTGAACATAACACAGACTGTATAACACATGCATCTCCAAGGACACGTCAAAATTGCAGTACCGAAATTCAGCGATGCTTGAGCAAGATCCACAGGATTGTCTGGGATGCTACACATCCTCTTCACGACCTGTTTTCTTTATTATATAGGCATAGCGCTCTCTCTCTCTCTCTCTCTCTCTCTCTCTCTCTCTCTCTCTCTCTCTCTCTCTCTCTCTCTCTCTCTCTCTCGATAAAGGTTATCTCATCTTATCTCGTTTCATCAAATTCAGCAGTAAAATTATTGATTTTCAGCAGCAGTTTTGGAGATTTGGAACTACACTACCTCTGTGAGGAAAAATGCTCTTATTCTCACTCTGATGCCCACCTATCTCCAGAGATGAGCAGGAAATTGCTCATTTCTTTGAGGCCCATCTTCTCAGCTTATGCCATTATTTCACTATAAGGCTTTTAATACCCGGCCAGGTTGAGAAGCTGAATTCCAGCTCTTGACCTAGAAGACAATGCCCATCCCAATATAACAGTAAGCCTGTTCAGATCAGCACTGGCTTACAGCACCAAACATCCCTCCTTCCAAATTGTCTTACACAGCTTTGCACAGGCGGAAGGTGGCCCAGGAGGCATCATATGGCACAGCATTAAGCAGTAATGCGTTGGTTCACAGATAATTCTAAACCGAGAAAACCTAAACAAATTACTGCACTATGGGTGAACCTCAGTATTTTCTTTCTTAGTGTCACTCTACACCTGCCCTTTTCAACCCACCAGTTCTGTATTTAACTTCTAACTTGGCCTTAACAAAAAGTATAACATACCAGCAATAATGCAAGATGGAAAATCACGACAAGTAGTCCTCACTTAACAACCTCAATTGAACTAGGAATTTTGGTCACAAATCACTGTAGTTGCTAAGCAGGTCACCATCTGTCTTGAGTATATTTTATGACTATATTTACGATGGTCAAAAAGCGAATCATTGCAGTAGTTAAATGAACCATGTGGTTGTTAAGCAAATCCATTTTCCCAAATAGGTGGTTTTTGTCAATTTCTGGCAAAAAAAATGGCAGAAACCAGAAAAAAATTGCAAATCGTAGTCACATAACCCCAGGACACTGTAAATGCAAGCCAGGTGCCAAGTGCAGGACATGTGACACCCCCCCCCAGGAAGGTGTATGGGTGTGTTGCAGTCATAACTCTGAGGAAGAGTTATAAGTAATTTTTGGGAGGCCTGCTGGAATTTCGAACATTCTTTAGGCCAGGGATCCTCAACCTTGGCAACTTTAAAACTTGTGGACTTCAACTCCCAGAATTCCTCAGCCCCCAGAATTCCTCAGCCAGCTTTGCTGGCTGAAGAATTCTGGAAGTTGAAGTCCACAAGTCTTAAAGTTGCCAAGGTTGAGGACTCCTGCTTTAGGCAACTTGTATAAGAACTACCTGTATAAGAGTTGGGTGACTGATGGCAATGACTATTAGAAACGCTTTTTGTGAAGATATTTCACATAGATCAACCCCACTTGATCTGAAAGAACCTGACTAGACTGGCCCACAAGAAATGATAGTACCTCTTTCTACCAACAGATGTCCTCATTTGGCAATCATAACTGGGACAACAATTCAGTCATTAAACAAAGTCGTGACTGTACTTATAATCTTACTTTAGCTTTGTTTTGCTTTATCGACCTGGAAGGTCATAAATCTGGGTGTTAGTTTCAAAGTTACTTTTTCACAATGGTTGTAACTGGGAATGGTCATGACCAGTTGCTAAGCAAGGGCTATCTGTATTCCATACT